CGATTGTGAAACGCGCGATTGCATCGATACAAACCCGCGATTGCATCGATACAAACCCGTGATTGGATCGATGCAATCGCCTATAAATCCCAAGTGTAGCGATGCAATCGCGCGTTTGTATCGATGCAGTCGCGCGCTTGCATGTCGCGTTTGCAACGCTTAAAATAGCGCGCAAGTGTAAAAGTAGACAATTAGCGACTACATCGCTGCTAAAAGTCGCCATGTGTCACGGCTCTGAGGTCTCAATTGTACCTATTTGCTTATAATTTCATCGTCAAACAAACTGTTTAGTACAATTTTGCTTCAGGTTTCCTATAATACATATCACTGTCAATAGATTCCACTTTATCAATAGGGATCTTTTTAATAAAACAATTATGATTTCATTTTTGTACCCTTTGTTTAACTCTTTTTCTAATACAGGTTTCATTTTGTTAGCTTAACTAGTTGCGCAGAAATCTATTTACAGAATTAAGCTTAAGCTCAACGGATTTTGTTCATCCACATTAAAGTTCTCTGTCAAAATGCGTAGTAAATCTTCTATTTGCGTGACATCTCATGATTTTTACCTACTTATGATTAATAAAGGTTTATTTTACATTAAACAGAAATCTCTCACTTGGAATGCTACTATCATATAAAAGATTGGAACATACAAAATTTTTGGAAAGTCGTGAAATTAGAAGAGCCATGCTAAGAGTGAAGACAAGGTAAGTCGATAGCCGTAGTTTCGGGTTAGTTGAGTATGGCCCTATACTTGCTTTCTATGATATCAATTTTAACAAGCATTGATCACGCACAAAGTTCATCACTATGGCCAGTATGGTTTTTGTTTTTCTCTCTCAAAAACAACAATTTCAATAGCATTGTGATTGAGTATTTGTCACTTTAAATATTAAGTACCGTCTTTACAATATTGAATATTATTTATACATTTTTGTAAAGCTTACATTGTACAATGTCTAAAGTACTTTACGCCTGTTCATGTAGGCTTTTTATGTTTGTCCGTATTTGTCGAGCAAACAAGAGACAATATAATTTTTAACGTGTTTGTAATGTTATATGTGACGGTACTGGCGTATTCATAAATAAACAGAATTCCACAACAGAAGTTCCGTTAAAGCACACTTTAGCTCAGTGTTAATAATGCAATACAGATAAAGGTCAATTGGCACAAGCCATCGGGTCGTGAAAGTCGGCCAGCTAAATTAGTAATGCTATTTTGCGGTATTCAAGCTTCACGTGCATGCATAAAGAAGTTCCGTGGCCCAGATATTACAGTTTAGGTCAAAGAGCCTAGTAGAAACTTTGCGCTGCCGTCGTCGTAACGTAAAGCGACGATATTCGTGACGGGACGAGCAAGTCACGCGCCTGGTGGTAAGCGACACGTCTGTCCATAAAAGTTGCAGTGCCGCTCAGAACTTTAAATCGCAAAGATCTGTGGGGCCCTGCCACTGCGCCTATCACTCAGAGACGTAACTTGACAAGTCCCATGTACATACCTGTAACTTCACCGGCGTCCTTACACTACTAAAGTTTCGAAGGGTAAGGGTGCTGGTGAAATTACAGGCACATGGGACTTGTCAACTTACGTCTCAGAGTGTCGGGCGCAGTGGCAATGCCCCTAAGATCTTTGTGATTTAAAGCTCTGCACTGAATGGCACTCCAACGGTTATGGACAGGCGTGTCGCTTATCACGCACTACTTATCCATCCTGTCAGTTAACATTATAAAAAAAAATACTTCAAAACTCAAACGCAGTAATGTGCACATTACTGCTTGGCGGCAGAAATAGGTAAGGCGGCAGTACTTTCCCGGACGAACCCTTTTACAAGGAGCTCTGCTGCTACTGGACATAGATATGTCATCCAACATTCAGAAAAAAATATATTATGAGAAGAAATCTGAAATTAACTAAATTTTTAAATCTTCAAAAGTTCTGGTAGATAATTAATGCTCGTAGCAGTGTTAAGCGCTACGATCTATCACCGTAGCATTACACTACGCTCGTAGCTTTATAACGTAGCAAAACTTTATTTTCTCTGTCTGGCTCGATGTGTGTTTGTGCCACTATAAAACGGGAAAGGTCAAGTCATTCGATTTGGTATCTAAGTACATTTTAGCATTAGTATCTTTATGGTTTTAGTAATTTTCATAATAGCTTTTGCCTAATGTGCTCGTGATCGTAAAATGATAACATAAAATTGCAAACTTCTAACAAGAAAGAATCATTATACTCGCGAGTCTATCATTATAGCTTACGAACTATATGTAAAATTAGAACCGTTACACGAGCGCGATTTTAAGCAGCGATGCAAGCGTGTGCAGTCGCACAAACTCGCGAATTGCATCGCTACACTTGTGATGCCATGCTTGTCTGGCACGCAGAGGCTCCTGGTTCGATTCCCGGGCCGGGAAAAATATTTGTATGGCTTACATTTATTTCTTTTGTGATTTTGGGTGTAATTTGTGGTTGTCGTTGTGTGTGTCCATGACACCGGCGATACAGGGTTTCCCTATTACGGGGCTATGAGTGCGTGTGTTATTATTATTAATAAACAATTTAAAATGTCGTTCTTGCATAGTTTTTTTTTGTGTGGTTCTTTATTTTTTGTATGTTATTCATGACAATAGAAGACTGCGAAAATAAAGAGTTTTTATTCATTAAATCGCTTTAATACATGTAAGTCGGATTACTTAGACGGGGAACCCTTGTTTTATATTGTTGTTGCTATTCAAATTTTGGCCATAACGTCTTACTATTTGACATACTTTGAATGTATTGCGTAAGCTTTCACTTAAAGTTTGTACTAAAAATCATATTTACTAACGGGGAAAAAACTTGATAAAAGAAGCGTAGCTCAGAAAGCTCTCTGAAGGAAGTGTTTTGTATGTTTTGTATTGTCGTTTAATGGAGTGTGTGTGTATGTTGTTTTTTGTATTTCTTGATCTGCGTGTTTCTTTGTATCTGTGTTTTATTCATGGCAATTAAACAGCGATATATTTTTTTTATTTAGTGAATCGTTTTATTGAACATAACCTGTGATTAACCAGCTGGAAAAGTCTCGTGTGACGTTGTTGCGCCTTCACACGTCGACTTTTAGCAGCGCATCTGCAGCGATTTTGTCGCGATGCAGTCGCTAATCGTTTACTCTTACGCACACGACTTATGTACAGAAACAATCGCGATACAAAACGATGCATCTTTTAAATGGTTCAACATAAGCGTTGTCATCGGTGTACCTAAGCGGTTATAAATCCCAAGTGTTTTGATGAAATCGCGATTTTGTATCGCCGCTAAAAGTTGCCGTGACTGTGTAACCGCTCTTGCAATTAAATTTTTAACATTTTAATTAATTAACCACCTGTAGGTTTTACTAAAAATCGCTGCAATTTGTAAAGAAATGAAGGTGATCTTTAAACGTCGAAAAATGTTTTTTAAATCATTGAAGACTTGTGAGGCTCCAAACAAAAAGTGTCCTAGATTCTCACGTAATACACAACTCATGTCCCACATTATATGCAGCTTTCTGCAAGTATGCATAATTACGTAGTGAATTTTCCTGCACAATTCATTTTTAGTATACAAAACATTAATAGAAATCAATAAATATTTGCGGAATTAACAATCCATTTTAGTAAATTTAAAATGCATTACAAATATTTTACAATTACAATAAATGTTCTCAAAGATTTTTTTTTGTAATTTTGCTTTGTGGCAAAGGCAAAAACCAAATACGACCCTTGACTGCATTTGACTTTTACCCAAACGGTGACGAAATATGTCGTGACGTAAGATGAATTAAAGATCTTTGCTAAAATTTGAAAAAACTTATACACAACAGTTCACAACATATCTCATATTTGGTTCAAAACAGTAATGATTGAATTAGGGCAAGGTCGCGCCACGGCCTAATGTCTGCTAGTCAAGTTTCTTTATAAAAATCAATATTGTCCCAACAATCGAAATAAACGATCCGTTTCAATATGTCATATTTGTAAAAATTATATTAAAAAAGATAATTCGCTTTTGAAACTACCTTGAAATGACGTTAATCTCAATAGAGAGATTTTGAAAAGTTCTAACATTATATACTTCAATGCATGTTTGATATAGAAAATAAAATAATAAATGTTGTTCCCAGATTAGTAGTCAGTATCCTGGCTTTTTATAAGAGTTAATATATTCCGAGAAGGGTTCATTGCAACTTTTTGAAATCACATTGAAATCCTTTGCAATTTGAAAATCGAGCCATTAACTTATAACAGTTGTGTGGTTTTCTCGAGGTAATATTATTTCTTTGACTTAATTTTTTTAACACTCAATTCTACTTTCGAATGCAGATAAAAAGAAATACACGTTCAGTCGTACTATTTAGTCTATGATGAAAAATAAATCTTGGTGGTAAAGGCAACATTTTATAAGATAAATCGTTGGGCAAAGGGTTTTGCTCTTTCAGTTTTTCCACTAGTTCTAAAATAATAAAAGTGAAAATGTACGTACATAAATCTCTTGAGGAATCAGCTTGTAGCAATTAATATTGTAATTTCACCACAGAGATGTATATACTGGTTGAATGCATAATTCGCACTGTTGTCATTTAAGTATTGACGGGCAATGCGTCCGATGCATTTGCCTTGCGCGTCTGTCTTTTACACGAAACTAAGGACACTTTCCTCGTAAATTATATACCTCAGTACGACCCTTTACGGAGCCTCAGAAAAGTTATACTATTTTTTCCATAGTTTTGTTTTTGTGTAGTATGAATAAAATTTTAAGAAAAAAGTTACGCATAAAATAAAAAATGTTCTTAAAAATATTACTTTAACTGAGTACTAAAAAAATTCTCGGGGCATTTAGATATTTGTAACAGTTTTTCCGGTGGTGACGGAAGTGTCAGCGAAATAATATAATATAAAATCATATTTTAATTTTGTAAATGAAAATATTTGCATATAAAACAAATTACTATTATAAAATAATAAAAGTAAATACTTACAGAGAGTCCAGGGTTGCATCCAGAAGTGATGGATTCTTTCCTAAATTTCGGGATGCAAATCTGCATAGAGTTTTTCCCTTTAGGTGGCCCAGCGCAGCCGTATTCATCGTTCCGATTATTTCTTGTCAAGTTTATGTTGTTAGTATTGTTCACTTTGACAAGAATGTTACAGGTTTGCGATGCAATTTGGAATAGGCCTTCTTCAAGGTTGCGTTTGTTTTGATATTGTCGATTGAAGTGTAAGTAGTCCCACCAGGTAGGCATTGTAATTGAAAATGCGCAATGTGTACGTGTTTTTGAGTGGGTTGAGAGGAAGGAGCGTGCGGCCGCCTCGCGCTATGACCGACAAATGGCAAGAGCCGCCAGTTTCGTAAATGTGAAGTCGTTGGCGGCATTGACTTGCGCGTTAAAAGTTTAGTTTTTCCGACAAAGTACTGTCAGGTGAACAAGTCTTTTGGTTGGTTGGTTTGGTTTGTAATGGTTTTTTCGATTAATTTATTGTGAGTTGTTAGACATGGACATTTACTGATGCTATTTATAGAAAACACTATGGATTGCTATTACGCGCTATTCAAGTCTCTATTTTTTTTTAAATATCTTAAATTGAAATTTTATTGTTTGTCAGAATGTTTCACCATCATGATATTCAATTTTTTTTGTGAAATGACTCCACTTGTGCATTGGTTTGCTAGGATACGTCTATCGGTTCTAATCCGGCTGGATCGAAGGATTTTTTTAAGGGTTCGATTTTTGCATTAATAATTATTGTAACAAACTAGTGGAGTAATTTCACAAAAAAAATTTAATATCATGGTCGTGAAACAGTTAATAGCGTTAATTACAGTTAATAGCGACATGTCTAGCCAGAGCTTGTAGCTGTAAAGGCACCTAACTGGGTGACGAAATACTTTCATAGATTATATGGCGCTGTGGCTAAAAAGTTTTTGAAAACCACACAAGCACGTAGACAAATTCGTGAGGTCCGCTGGTTCGTTCCGTAGCTTAGTTGGCGTAGCGTCTCCAGATTTGAACCCCCTAGACTTTTTTACTGGAATTGTCTGAAAGAAAAAGTTTATGCAAAACCGATATCAAACGTTGCCGAATTACGACGAAGAATCACGGAAGCTGTATAACAGATAAATTTACGGCGATATGCACGATTGGTGAAAAGATCATTTTTAAGGCGTTGCCGTGCATGTATTGATGCCACTGGAAAACAGTTTGAGCATTTGTTGTAAGTCTGTAATAAAATTATAACAATTTACTCGTTACTGCCGATGATTTTCAAACGGTACGTTGATGATACTTTCACAATATTACCTAAAGATAGCATACCTTCTTTCTTGGACCATCTTAATTCTTTTAGTACTAAGATCCAATTTGCTATGGAACAAGAGAATTGTGGTACTTTAGCTTTCTTAGAATTAAAAGGAATCCTAATAACACCTTAGGCCGTACTGTATTTCGAAACAAAAACCCATACAGGTAGGTACCTCAATGGTAATTCCCATCACCATCCTAGCCAGTTAGCTACCGTCGAGCGAAGACCTGCCATTTTACCTAACGTGTGAGGTGTGTTACAGGCAAGATCGGAAGAGTCCTCAGACATGCATCTATCAAGACCTATTTCAAGTCCCCGAGGAAGATTTCTCAGTTCCTGAGATCCGTCAAATGTAACATCCCCTTACAGGATGCAGGAGTTTACAAGCTTGACTGTGAGTGCGGTCTCTCTTATATTGGACAAACGAAGCGAAGTATTTGTACCCGCGTCAAAGAACATACATAGCTGATGTCAAACATCGTCGCGGAAAACAAGTCTGCAGTCTGCGAGCATGTCATGGATAAACCTACACATTCAATGAAGTTTGACAAACCCCAGGTCCTTGCAAAAGAAGTCCGTTATCTACCCAGGATGCTGCGAGAGGCCATTGAAATTAAAAAAACATCCTAATTTCAACAGGGAAGATGGTTTCTCCGTACCACCAGTTTGGGATCCAGTATTTCCTCTGATGAAAAATCCCAAACAGACATAAGACTTGAGTACTAATTAATATGTTTTAGTTTATTCTAATTTCTATTATTAATTAATAATAAATTGAACTTAATAAAAATTCGTTCAATAAAATAATTTGCAAAATTTAATGTAGAGGAATGTTTTCTTTGTAAAATTAAAAATAAGGTATTTAATTAATAACTATTGTAACTATAGTGAAAAAATAGGGTGGTTTGCATTAATATTAGACATAACTGGTAGAAGACTGTACCACCTCAGTCAACCGTGACCATGGGACCTGTAAAGGACCCGAAACATCGGTTTGTTTGAAAAAACAAATATACGCGATTTAAATCCAGAAAAATAGTTTCATTTCCTATTTGTAACAATCGCGAAAACCTAAGAACTCGATATTATTCATTACTTTTATTTAAATTCCAATATAAGTCGAGAAATGTGGAATTTTGAGACTGTATGCCTTAATCAATCATGCTTACCATTTTTCAAGTCATTCTAACTCCGACTACATGGATATGAAACCTAAATCAACCTTAGAGGCACTGAAAGCCATTTCCACTTAGAAAGGTAACCTTTTCAAATTGGCCTCTTTTTAGAAAAACCAAAATTATTTTTTCCAAGAAGCATGACGTAGAAGGTTTTATATGGTAGTCTAGGTACATTTTTTACAGTATGGGGTGTCAAAGTTATCTTGAAAAAAAAAATCTGCTGGGACTTTAGCTATTCGGGTTTTCTTTGGCATTGTGTTATTAGCTGGGCTATTTAGGTTACCGTTATAAAAACTAGAATTGTAGTACTTAAAAATGGTGTACAGGTACATTTTCAACATTTTTCATTAAAATCTTATATCACAAAAAAACACGATTTTTTTAAACATTTTTTTCTGGGTTGTTACAAACTAGGCAACATTCTGTTCCCAGGTTTTCGTTGAGTTTTGGGACACCCTGTATATATCCAACGGACTGCCACGTAGAGGTCTCAGGTTTGATTCCTGGGCTGGGAGAAATATTTGTATGGCCTACATTTATTTCTCTCGTGTGTTTGGGTGTAATTTATGGTTTCTATGTGTGTGTCTATGGCACCCGCGATACAGGGTTTCCTTAGTGCGGGGCTATCACAGACCACGGGGCTATGTTGAGTTATTTATGTTATTATTATTATTATCTATGTTATTATTGTTATTACTTTATGAATCAAACATTTCGAGGATCTTTTAATAACAAAAAATAATAATTATTAAAGTCCTTTTGAGCACTGTATTTGTTGTAACCTCCGAAGGTCCCGTGTGGGTACATCAAAACGTACATAATATAAGTATATTAAGTGATTCAGACACATGCAATATTTTTCCTGTGATCACGTAAACGAGTGTATATTTATTATGATTTTCGTTTATTATTATGAAAATATTGGATTCAAAGTTATCGCTATTTTTCAATACGAGAACAGCGTAGAAAAATACGTTTTACATATACGAAATAGTCATATGAAAAGGCATAAGTATGCCTTTTACGCTTAGGCGTGAAGAATGCATTATATTTAGTCCAGCATTTTAAGAATACTGGACGGTTGTCCAAAAGTAGTTTGTTGGGTCTACAACTAGGTGGACAAGTGGATATAATGACATAGTCTCTCACAAACGTAGGTATTGTGCAACCACCAGGGGTTCATGGACCCTAGGTGAGAAAACGCTGCTAGACCTCAAATACTCACTTTCACATTTATATTACATTACTTAATTCACAGGAACATTATATTCTGGCTCCTACATGTACAGAAATTGAGCACAAAATTTTAAATTTTAGGATAAATAAACACAAATTACCTACAATTTAATATAACTTAAGGTAGATATAGTTGGTGCATACTCCGTATCTAGTACAGTTACAGTTGAAGACTGAAAATCTTTAACCTTTAACCTTTTTGTCCGCATTACTCAATCGTATTTTTCTATTATAATTTTCAATTTGTATGATTTCTATATTTCGTGGAGAAATAAAATATCTTTTTATTTTATTTATTACTAAACAATAAATAGTCTGATGTTGATTTCTCGATATTTCTATTAATACCATAGGTATTAACGGTTAGAGTTAGTGGTAGGCAGAAGCTCCGACAATTTTTTTGCAAAACAAACATTCTCGTGTGAGTGAGACATAAATAATAGGTAGCTATTAAAAATACAACGGGGGCCTTACCATGGACCACAGAAGATTTATGTGGTCTGTGCCATGAACTCTTATTACAGTTCAGTATAGGTTCGTAATGACAAAAAAGCGGGATGGTGATATACATTTCATGTAGCGCTGTCTCACTGCGATTTCTTTTTAGGTCGTAAACTGAATCGTAATAAGAGTTCATGGTAAGGCCCCAGATTAATTAATTGTTACTCGTACCTAATACACAAGTAATACATTGACTGACAAAATTTTTACAAAATGCTCTAGGTACTATTAAGAAAAAATGTAAGCGTTCTGTTGTTCTGGGTTTATTGTTTATAACAATAATGTTAAGGAAACAAGACTTAAAACTTTTTCACTCCTAAGTACAAAACACTCAGCAGGTGGATTCATTAACAGCTGAAGGCGTTTTATTGACTTGGCAAAGAGGTTTGTTAAATAGCTACATTTCGTCTAGAACATTCCCCTAATTGACATACGTGACCGTATTGAAAGCACTTTATTGTATTCTAAATTGGTTGTAGAGTCATTTGAAGGTTGCTAACCTTTGAATTTTTTGGCCATTTCAGTTAGATGTAGTTTGTTTGTCAAGAAAGAAAATGCGAATCTACAAATCGAATTTATTGGACATTAAAATGTAATGATCGTAACGTCTTGCAGTATTTACCATGCAAGTTCTATGAGGTAAACCGTGATCGGTGATTTGACTTGACTCGCTACATTCCGTTGTAATGTAAATGCACCAAAGATGACTTTGTTATAAATACACAAGGTTGACGGCTAATGCATGATCGCAATAAATTGTACATCTATCCTTTTTAGTTCACTTATTGCTTAGAGGACGGAAAAAAGGAACGACAGTGGCGCTGCAGCTGCGCTTCTAAATATTGTTTGAAAATTAGTAATAGCGCTCACAGCTGCAGCGCCATAGTGACACCATTGCAACGCTCTACAAGTGTCTAATTTGCAGGTATCCTAATGCTGCTACTAGACGGATTGCATGCGCGAAGTCGATATATACAGAGTGACAGGTTGAACGAGACAAATATTTAAAGCGGCAAACGAGTTACTTGACATCTAATCCGAATATGTAAAAATGATCGCCCTTACACATAAGAAAAACAAATTTCGTGCCATTTTACCTTGGAAAAAAATAGGATGGAAAAAAATAAAACACTTTAACTCTTTATTTGGGTTACAGAACAGTTGAGCGGTAGGAAATTGAACTCCCGCTTGTCAAAAGAGTACTATTAATTTTCCCTTCATTCAAAGCGTGCGCAGAGACCGCGCGGTAAGTTCGATCTTGCGCAGCGTATTTATTACCTTTAGAGCATAGTATTACAAAATTCTAGAGGCATTTTCTTTATAAAAAAATATTTAAAAATAAGATAGGTATGTAGTGTTTTTTTTACATATTCGGAATGGGTATCAGCTACACATACGCTTCTTTAAATATTTTATCTACACACATATAATAAAACCCTTTATGTGTTCAAAAACCGCAAATTACGACCAGCATAAAGATAAACTGTTTTGTTAGAACAAATTTCTTATCTGTGAAAATGTTATTATTGCTTAATAATAACATCAAATTCAATTTTACCATTACATTCAAATTTCGAACATCTCTGAAAAACAATTTGATTGGACCTGAATTCTAATATCAGTCGAGATGAAGTTTTATGCGAAATGAAATGTTAATAGCAAACAAATTTTGACAAATTTCACACAATATTTGATATCGAACGATATGATCGTTGGGGCCGACTCTAGTTTGTTTACGAATTAAAAAAAAACTGCGGTAGCGCGACATGCGTGTAAAAGTTTTTAGTTGTCGCCATTTCGTTTGTTTTGTTTATTACATTTTAGAGAGCTTATAATATTATGTGGTTGAACGAGACAGAGCAGTGTAAATAGCTGTACATAATTAGGCATTAAAACGCTCGTGTGATGCATAAACCCACAATCGTATTTAAATGCCTTTCATTATGTAACAGTCACATAACTTATATATCTCGTTCAACCTGTCACCCTGTACACAACTACAAACAGTCGATTGACATAAATCTATTTTTTTTTAAATTTGTTATTACCATCTTATTTCGCACCGCGATAATGACTACTATAGATGGATGCCAGCTGTCAAAATTGAACTGACGTCTTCCATTCCATCTCGATCAAAAATTATAAAATATTTTGAAATTGAAAAAAAAATTTTTGGCGGAATGGAGTCCAAATAGTTAAAAAATGTTCATGATTGGTGCACTGTCCATCATCAGTTCCACTACCTTAATAGGGTACTAACAAAATTAACAAAATATAAAAATAATTTTATCATTTATAATATTACCTATATTATACTTAATGACAAGTCAATAATTAGTACTTCATAAAGAAAATATTTTATTGTTATAAAAATACTAAATTCTAATACATTTCACTTTATTTATGCCATTTTAACATAAATAATTTTGTGAAAATACAGTACATTGTTGTGAAGTGAGGCACCACCAATTACCTCACTAAACTGTTGGACACTTGTTATATTGTGTTGTCCTCTTTTCCCTTTATGGGGTGCAATGCACTTTATTAATAGCATTTTACATTTAAAAAACATCCTATCTTAATGAATTTATCACTACTATTTACATGATTGTTAATGGACCAATTATAAGACCTTAGACTCATTCGCCACTTCTTTCATCTCTATATCATCTGAAATAGACTCCATATCATCTGGCTCGTCCAATAATGCCTGTAACTGATGAATTGAAGTAACTAATACATGGAACTGTTTTTTTCTTAACGCTAAGCGACTTTCAAGTTGCTGCTTCGTTGTTTCTAAACTGTTCAATTCCGTTTTCAAAGTGGCAAGACGTTCTAAAGTCTCCTTTCTGTCTGGCTGTTCACTTATTACCTTTGCCAGTACATCATATTCAGTGCGGTTTTTACGGACGGTCTTTGCTTGAGCTAAATCTGCTTTGCTCTTATCAATGTTATCTTTAGCAACCTCTATGCCTTTTTCAAGTACCTTGGATAATGCTTCATAACTATTTAGCTCTGCAGACATCATTTCGGATGCTAGTTGTGATTTTGTGACAGCGAATTCGCATTGTGCAAGCTGAGCTAGCATGCGATCATGTGTCGATTTGCTGAAAAAAAAAAAGTGTTTGAGTATAGCCATTTTAAAATAATAATACTAGCTATCCCTTAGTGGTTTAATTATATGAAATAGTGTTCTTTTTTTAATAACTTACATTCAATTTTAGGGAAAAACTGTTCAAAATACGATTAATTAAGTATAGGCGTCTCTTTTCAATTATTTATGGTTTTAAAATATTGACAACGCAGCAAATGAGAATGATTCAGAAATAATATGGAAAAATCTAACCTTTCTTCAGGTTTTTCGTCGGCACTGTTGCACCATTTTATCAATGTTTTCAGCAATACGTTAAGGCGCCGGTCGTCACCTGTTCCGTCTCCATCAATCAGCAGTCTTCTGCGAATCACATCCTCTGCAAAGTAACATTTATTTTAAAAGATAACAATTACACGAAACAAAGCGAATTGTATTTACCTAATTACTCATATTAAAAAACTTACCGTCACCCATTGTTCTTTATCTGGATTCTTTAAACGAAAACTATATAATAAATGAGTTTTCCAATAAAAATAAAGCTTTGTTGTTAGCAGTTTTTAGGTTATAGCGCGTTCCATTGAAACTTTGGTGTTGGTGTCACTTGTCTTACTGGTGTGAGTGGTGTGTTCGACGCATATTATAATTTATTATTATTAAATAGTTTTGGCTGGGATATAAGTGCTTTCAGCCATGTCTTCATCCTCAGTAATATTTTCCATTCTAGTTTGCATTGTAGTTTTAATATATTATGTTTTCACTTTTAATCGTTCATATTATTATCGCTTTGAACAAAAAATTTGTATTCGTAATTAGTTGAATTTTCATGATAAACCCCTTTGTAATTTGATTTAAAATAAGGAATACAGTTCTAATTTTCTTCATAACTATTTCTTTTTTTCTTCATAATTGCACTTAAAATAAAAATAGCCTTTGTAAAAAGTATACTTTGAAAACTTCAAAAATCCGCCGTTTCACACGCTTAAAAAAAATTCGTGTGGAAGTGCTGTCTTGTTACGTAATTTTTTTTTTTCCATCCTCTGAGGTAAAATTGCACATTGATATCCCTGTTTTATGTAAGCCTTGAATGAACAAATAAAAAATCCATGGGAATATGATGTGAATGCATTAAGGTATAGTTTACAAATTACAGTACAATCGATCGATTTGTCATCAAGTGGTCAACTTTTTAATAGTATAGAATGAGAAATTGGCCGTTGACAAATGACGTTTGAAAACAATGCAATCGCATTTTTTCATTAAATTAATTTAAAATAATATTGTAATACATTCAGTGATGTGAAATATTCGTAACATATTACATACGAAAAGGACTTTAATTTGATAAAATATGTGAACCCGTATAGTGCTCTGAACTTTGGATTTGTATTGTTTTTGTTCGCCTTGTATTGGCTGCTAAAAATGAGTTCTCCGGAGTTATTACTGATAGATAGACTTAGAAAAGAGAATGTAGATCAGTTTTTTACTTTAGTGCGCATGCATTTATCCTTTGTTGTGGATATTAATACCGACGAGTAAGTAGAAAAAAGGTTCATAAAAGTACGTTGATTTTTTTTGTCAACGAATATTTTGACTCCAGAAACTTATATATTTTCAGTGTTGATAGTTCAACAGATAAGCCAAAGCAGTTTAGGTGGAATTTCAACAAGAAGACGAAGAATTCCAGTTCAAATTCTAGTCAAAACAGTGCTTGCAATAGTAAGAACAACGCTGAAGGGAATACTATAACTGAAGAGGGAATGTTAAGGCTTAACGAAGTGATAGATTTCTTATCAAAGTCTGACAGTACGTATATTGAATATCATATATCTACAGGTAGTGTGAAGTATTTAAACATAATTTTTTAAAACCAACAAAAAAGTCACTCTGGCAGAATTCTCCAAAAAAGCCAGCAACTAAAAAAACAAGTCAAAGTTTAAGTAAAGAAATTAAATAAGCTTCCATTGAGGATGGTACTGGATTTTAATGGTTCAAGTGCATAATTACCTAAAAATTTGTCCAGTAAGGATGTCTTTCAGATGAAAAGATGATGTAATAATAAACAGTAAAATTACTTTCTTCTTCATACTTATTAAACATGTTAATACTTTGTTTATATTAAGTAATGAGTGTACAACCAGAAATAGAGATGAAATAAGGGCCATCCATCCCTGGCAACTCATCAGGCAAATGGGCCTTATATCACTTTTGAATGTCAACTCTTGTTTGTGCTGAAATCACAAATTGACCCCTCCTACGTAAAGTATTGTATGTCGAAATTGCCAATTTTACAGGGGAGCGTTTTAAAGTTCTGAATTTACTGAAAGAGTGGTCATCTAATAGATCATCTAACCGATATCTAGGATTTTATAACACTCTATGTGAGTAATGAACTTTGTCGAATAAAACTGAGAAATGCTAAATTCACATGTTATGTCCATTTCAGTGAATTCAGAACTTTTAAATGCTCCCCTGTAAACTTGGCAATTTTGACATACGATGCTTTACGTGTGAGGGGTCGAAATTAGAAGACTGAAATATTACAGCACCAACAACTGACCCATGTGTATGTCTCCATATATTCAAAAATGTTCTGTATTTATTGTAATAAAGATAATATCTCTAACAATTGGTGCTGTTCCATTCAGTGGTGTGGGAAATACAGCAAAACATCTAATTATAAAATAAATAGAATCACATTTCATTGTTACTTAAATATGTAATTTTGCAATTTTTACCCATTACAGCAAAGCTTAAGTTAAACTGGTTGATTTGAAGTGAAACAATTGATGACACCTGTCAATTGTTTCGAATTTGGGTTGGCCAATCGGAGCGTAGTTGTCACAGTAATGATTTGGCAGAATAGTTTTCAACAAATTAAATGACATTTCGTCTCTATTTCTAGTTATATACTCGATGATATTATGGTATATGTTTGATATTATTATTCATATTGTCATTCATATTTATATTGTCTCTGAGAAATTGCTCAAAGTATATTCATATAGGATTCTGTGATATCAACAAGTTTATCATATTTTCATTGGACTATGAATGTATGAAAAGTAAAATAGATATTTTATCTTATTGTTACTGCAACCATGAATTGTTCTATTGTAATCACCAACAATTATAATTTCGGGCCAAGGAAAACTGTTAAAAAACTGGAGGGTTCTCCTAGCTTGAACTATTTTGATTTCCTCTGCTTAAGACATGGTCTTTCTCAGAGTTGAGTATTCTGTGCTCATCAATACACATAAGGTCCACAGGAGTTTCATTCGCTTCATAGCTGAATTTTACATTATCTTCTCTCTTTCAGCTTAAGATTGAACATACGCTCATTCAACTCTCAGTGCAGAGCTCTATTTTATATCTATCTAGTTTCTCAAAAATGTTTAAGCACAACAGATGTTAATCAGGGTCTTTAAGTCTTCAAGAGTGTTTATTTTATCTTGGTGAATGTCAAAAACTGATACTATCATTCAGAATTGTTATGGTTATGATTTTATTGTACAGCATTCCTTTTAATGATTGCAGATATCTGAGTTATATAATTTTATACAAAAATATTGCAGATGTGACGCAAGAAGGCATATTCCGGCGCACGGGCTCTCTAACACGCCAACAGGAGCTCCGTCAATTGCTCATCACAGGCTCAAATTTGTGCCTTGATGAGGGTAGATTTTCTGTACATGATTGTGCTTCTGTACTAAAGGGTTTCCTGGCTGAACTGCCTCAGCCCTTATTAATGGACCAGTATTATCAAATTTATTGCACTTTGGCATGTAAGTATGTTATTGTCATCTTAAAACAAAACAATAATTAAGAGAAATGTATTAAAAAAGCTCAGAGTAGTCAAAGATATGTGAAGTCCACTAAATGCGTAAAATTACTGAACTCTGGCTTAAGTATTTGAATAATAACATATTTGGACTACAGTTAATAGTAACCTGAAATAGTTTAAACAAAATTTAATTGCTATTCACATTTTTGAAATAAATCTA